TCTAACACTTGGCTGCTCTTCCAAAAGTGGTTCCGTGACTGGTACATATCCTATTGTTCTGTTTCCTGGTCTTTTGCTTTTTTTTTCTTTCTTTCTTTCTTTTTTGGTCCTTTGCTTTTTATTTTGTCACAGCATAGACTTCTTTTATAATCTTCTTTTTATGTGCTATATTTTGCAAATGCACTGAAAGAAAGAAAAAATGGTATCTTTTTCCTCATCTATTACTAGGTTTCCTGACTGAGGTACCTGCAAAATAGCCAGAAAACAGCAAAGCATTTTTGATGAGAAGTAGGCAGTTGTAGAGAAATTTGATTGGGTAAAGAGAGTAGATTTGATGGTAATAAAGTGGAAGAATTTAGCAAAGTTTATTCAAATCTTTCTCTGTGACACTGAATCTTCAGAAATAAGGCCTTGCACCTTCTGAGTACATGGAAGGTTTCTCTGGAGTGCCTCACTTGAGAGCAAGGTCAGAGGATCCTTTTATTTCTTCTTCAGAAGAAATGATTGGAGAAGGTCACGAGGTCTATTGGCTTCTGCTCTTTCCTTGAATGCCAGCGTGCCATTCTGGAGTGGCATGTTCTGCCTTCCATCAGAACTACCTTTCCTTTTCTCTTGACCCCCTAAACAGAGGTCTTATTTTAAGGACCCTCCATTCTGACCATCTATTAAAAGGAGTTTGATTTTATAGGATGTCTTCTGGTTAAGTAAGACCAGATCTCACCCTGATCATTTTGAATTTGCTTTTAGAAATTTTCTTTCCTCAAGTAAAATTTGTTAAATTTGACTAGACCTGGTTTTTTCTTTCAATATGCTTTTCTGCTTTTTATGTATGCTGAGCTATTTGTGTATTCCTTAAAAAGAAACCTGCTTATTTTTAGAATCTGTGCTAGGATTCCAGCGATACCACTTAAATTCTCCCATATCAACTGTGAAGATCTCCCCCTTTCAGTCTTTCTTGTACTTTTCTTTGCTGTTTTGTTTTTGAAACTCTCACTTGTAGTTCAGGCAGGCCTTGAAGTCAGTGATCTTCAGTGATCTTTCTGCGTCAGCTCCCACTAACTGTTAGGATTATAGCTGTATGCTACTATGCTCAGTTTATTGCATTTTATTTCACACCATTATACATAGCTAAAAATAAAATAATCAGATTTAACAGCAGAACTTTTAGTTTGGAGCAGGCATTAGCAAGTCTTTAAACGTTTCCTCTAAACAGAAGCTATGAGTCACTTCATTTTGTATTAACAAAGATATTGATACCAGGTTCTCACATTACATAGATTCTTTTCAGGTATTCTAACCAGGTTCTTCGTGTCCCGAACAAAGAGCTGGGCAAAATACATGAAAAAAGGAACAGGGTCTTTACATTTATTAAAGAAGTATATTCTGCAGAGTAAGTGAGGGCCCACTGAGAAAACTCTCAGTGATCACAAGATTAATTACTGAGGTCTTTTGGATCATCATTCCTCAGGCTGATGTCAGATCTAAGTTGGCCTATCAAAATCCTGCCAGAAAAATTGAAGATTAAAAATTGAAGAAAAATTGAAATTGAAGATTTCTGGCTGGCTCTAGATGCAACGATTGGAAACTTGTCTGTTCCTATGCTTTGGATATCCAGCCGGTGACCTTGCCCTAATCTTCCACCTCAACTTGATTGTGTAGTACACCTGGAGGATGAAGAATTAGACTACATTGCCCTGATTTAAGAATGTAAAAGTAGGGGCTGGGGATTTAGCTCAGTAGCATAAGCGCCTGCCTTGCAAGCAGGCAGCCATGAGTTCAATCCCTGGAACCGATAAAAACAAATAAGACAAAAAAAGTAGAATGGTAGAAAGTGTTGTTGAAAGCTTAGTTCTGGTGGTCAGATATGGAGGCATCTTATAGTATTAGGGACACTGTAGCCAGGAAAGCCTCAACGGGAACCTCCCCTGCCCTTAGAGATTTACCTGTGACTCTATCCCCCCCCAACTCTTAGGACTCGGCCCCTGGCGCCAAACGTGTGCCAACGAGATACCTGTGTATCTCTAATGGCCCTAGAGCATTACCCTAAGCTTAGGCTACTTATATACCCACCACGCCACGTGTCAGCCAGAGAGATCCTGGGACTCCAGCAGTCGGGGAGGGTGTGTGGGGGGGTATCGGTTCTCTCTCTGTTCTCAGAATAAAGGCCTCTTTTGTTTTATACTTCACGTCTTTTGGAAATAATGCTATCACTGTTCTTTTTTCCTTTTGTGAAGCGACAAAATAATTATTTGATGGTAAAATGGTAAATCATTGGGACTGTATTCTGGATAGGCTATCCTAACAAGAACTCTCTGGTTGTTTCTTTGTTTTCCTTGTTTCTGGTGGTTTTTTGTTTGTGTTGTTTTTATTTGTTTGTTTCAGTAAGAAAATCACATTGATTTCTGCTATGGAAGCAAGGCTAAAACTACACCAAACTGCTCTACAGAGTAATTTAATTGTAGTAATCAACTAGCTGAATAAATGTCACTTAGAGCCAAAGACACCAACATGCAAATTTAAGAACATTTAAGCTCAACTTATTTTTAATCTCTCCCGGGTTGACAATAGGCAAATATTGACAATGGGTACTAAAATCTGTAAAGCAAAAGCATTATTTTCATGGCTGGAGTCACTTTGCCAGTTGTTTCTTTTTATCTCTTTGAATTGGCTTATTGTTTCAGGCTTTGTCTCTCACTTAGCAGCAATTTGTACAGAGAAAGGGGTTTTCATTTGCATATTCTTTTGAATTCAAAGGATGTTTCCTTGGAAACTTTAGTTGCCTGAAACAGTTATTTACATAAATAATTTTCTCCTCAAAGCTAATGTTTTCTAAGGAAGAGAGATATATGTAGTTTGCCTAAAATAAAGCATGAATCAACACTAAAATATTTTATCCCAAGATTCATTGGGATAAGCAACATTTAGTTACCTTCATCAAGAATGTGGAATAATTTATAAAAAGTAACTTTCAGAATAATATTAGGGTACATGTTAAATACATTATATGATATTATCCCTTTTAACCCAGTCACTGGTAGGTGGAAAGTTAACTAAAATGGCTATTTATAGTCAGCTACAGAAAGACCAAAATGACAGTGTCAAAGAAAACTGTTCATAAAACTTGCTAAAGATGGTAAGGTGGACTTTACCTGCAGTGGTTCAGTGAGATAGGTAAGGGGTTAACTGCAGTGGGGTTTTGTACTGACTGAGAGAGATTAAGGTCAACTCTGATTTGAACATGAACAGATGAAGATTGGTAACTAAGGAGCATATTGGAGGTTGCAGACTATGGGTAGAAGATTGCTAGAAGGAAGCCACCTCCATAAGGTGTTTCTGGTTAAACTCACTGCATGAGAAAACAGCCAAAAGAAAAAGTGGTACAATATATGGAGGATGTTGAGTTACTAAAGATGGGGAGTTTTGCTAAAACCAATTGCTAAAACCATGATTCTTGCTCAACCTGAGATCTATGAGGACAGAAAGGGAAGCCTAAACCTGGCTGGGTTCAGTCCAGCAAAAGATGTGGGAGCCAGCCTACAATTCCACATCTTTATCGTTGCATCTACTTCACAATTTGATTTTAAATTCAAACAAGCTATTTTTTACACCTTGGCCAATATTGTGATGGAAAGCCAACACCAACACTTTGATGTCTGCTGAGAAACATTCTGTATTTTCTTTTTTATATAAACACATCCCTAACACCCTGTCATTTATAGTTTTAGTTTCTTTAAATTTTGTGTGAGACCTCAGGTACTTGAGAAAAAATTGAATGTATTTTCCTTCTAGAATTTCTAATCCCCTGCCAAATTTTGGGCTCTACCCTGCATACAACAGAGAATTTATGTTAGCGACTCACAATTATGGAATCTTTTACAACATTTACATAGCAAACCCATCATCAATCACATATTACCAATTTGCATAACATTTAATTTAATTACATAATTGTAGTAAGAACTACACTGGCATAAACAGTTTAGAAAATTCAGCTGAATCTTGGGAAACATTTAATTCTACTTGTGGGAGCAAATTATTCAAAGAAAGGAAAGAAAAAAATCTACCGAGTACTTATTTGTACTATACTAAACCAAAATTCTCAGCTCCAAGGAACTTCAGAAATAAAAGGATTACAGCATTGCTCCAACCTAAGTTTCTTTTCTGATTCTAAGAGGCTGAACTCGGTCCTTTTTACTGAGCTATATCTTCATCCTATTTTATTTATTTTTGATTTTGAGACAAGGTCTAAGCGGAGAAGTAGAAGAAAGATAAGTAGATAGGACAGTGGGCTTGAGTCATGAATTTGAGTAAAATGTGAAAGGCAGATTGGTCCCTAAGTCAGCTTAGGGACCTAAGTCAACTAGGAGCTTTGGAGGAGTAGAATGCAGACAAGACAGCTTGCTTTCTGGATAATAAAGGTCTGCCGGTGACTGAATTCTGCATGTACCACTGGTATTAGAGACTGTATATAGAAAGCTCTGGATTTAAACTCTATGGTTTTTCCATCTTTTGGACCCCTGCCCCTGCAGCAGGGGAATTTTATTTTTACTCTTTCTAATAAAACATACACCTGGCTATTCCCCATCACTTGCTGTGTTGCTGCTTAAATCTTCAAGGCGCAAAGCAGGAGGAAACTGTTTATAAGTTCTCACTAAATTGCTAAATTGCTAAGTCCCTAAGCTGTGTTCAAATTTACAGTCCTTCTTCCTAGGGATCCCCTGGTGTTGAGATTAGAGGTGAGTGCCACCACCTTTTAAGACTTATTTTTTTGTTAGCCATTAGGGATGCTAGTGAGGAAAAAGAAATCAGACTAAGGGACAAGTTCCTATAGCTACCAGCAGCAGACTGTGTAGGAGCTGGAAGATGAAATGCAAGTCCAAAATTAAGAGTATTTTTTATAAACTTTGAGGGAGGAAAACACTTGGCTGTCTGGGCTATAGATAAGAGGGGTGGGGCAAAGTAAAATAGACACAGTTTGAAATAGACACAGTCTGTAAGAAAGAACATTGAAAGCTTCTGATTTGTTGTTTGGGAGTCACTGTTTGGGAAGTTTATGTATCAACTGCTAGGGGTTCCTGGTGTCACCTGGGATGGGATGTAAGTCAAGATTTCAACAGTCTTTTCTTTGGTTTCAGCTGTTAATTGATTAATTTGTCTTTTCTCTTCCCTCATTCATCTTCTGTAATTGAATTTTGGACAACTCAGAATATTTCTTTTACTCACCAGGATTTGTGCTTTGTCTTGGAAATACGGAGTGAACAGATGAGAATTCTTGTTAGCCCGGAGAACTAACCGAATCAATCCGCGGTAAATAGTGGTTTGTAAATAAGGGTTAGTCGCTTTTCTGACAATAGGGGTGCCCTTTGCCTGAGTTCACAAGATACATGTGGTGCTTTGTGTGCTTGTGGTGCCTGATTTTTAAATTAAATCTATCACAAAATCTCTCAACATGTTCATTTATTCAAAGGGCTTCTCTGCAGTATTGACTCTCCTCGGTTGAACAAGTTATGTCCTCTGGATAAAGATGTGACCAGTAGTTTCTCCAGCCTGTCTATCCAGCATGACTGTTCCAGCTGTGAATGGGTATACATTCTAGCTCGGGATTTGCTCCAGTGTGTGCTCCCTGAGCGGATTGTAGTGGACAACAGTTACAATACACCAGACACCAGATTGCATTTTCGTAGTAGGGGTAGAGAGTCAGATGGACTGAATTTTCCTTATGGATTTATTATTGTGATTTGGGGCCTCGGAAGACAAGCATTCTCTATCATCTTTTTCAATAAAACACACATCATTTCAATCCACAAAATATGAATGCAAATGTGTTATGTCACTATATCAGGATTATTCTATCCTTTTATCTAAAAAGTGACAGTTTAAAAATAAAGTACTCCAGGCATCAGGGCATATGATTTTAACCACAGCTACCAGGCTGAAGCAGGGAGTTACAAATTCGAGGCCAGCCTAGGCAACAGAGTAAGACCCTGTCTCAAAATAAAAATAAAAGATAGAAGAACTGGGAATATAACTCAGTGGTGGAGTGATAGTGTGGGAATCCACCAGATCCTGGTCAATCGGGGCTCAACCAGTATGGTAAAGAAAAAAAATATACATGACAATACCACAACTAGTTTTCTAAAGCTTTAAATATTTTTTCAATGACTTATTTGCCAGTTATTTGATGCTTGTACAGCATATTATATGATAGTACTATGGAAATGGCTCAAATAAATTGAGAAAAAATGTGCTTTGGTTTATTTATTCAAATAAATGCAAATGCTAATTCTATACAATGCAGTAATGAATTCATTAGAAAACTTCTATTATTTCAGTGCACAAAACACTTTTATTTTTCAATTTTACCTCTTCCTATTTCTTGTTCAAGACAACTCAAGTTAATTGCAGTTTTCCTCTTGTTGCTGTTGTGACTTGTTATGGAGCAGTTTCAGGCAAGGTAGAAATACATATATATGGGAACTAAGTCGTAGCGAGAGGTTGGAATCCAAAAGAAACGGGTATAACATGCTGTGTGAGGTTTCCAGATGCTTTTAAAAATTACCTTTTTATTCAGAAAATATGCTGTTTTTTTTGTTTTGCCTTCTGTTTTTTAATATTTTTATGTTGAAGCAGAATCCCAATAATTTATTCAATCATTTAATGATTAACCAAATCACTTATTTAATCATTTATCAAATATTAACCAAACACAAAATAGCAGGCCCAGTTTTGAGCCTTCATCCGTAGGCAAAGCAATCAAGACCTCTGCTCTCTTTGAACTCCTCTCAGCCAAGACAAATTATAATACTAAATATAAGAAGTAAGTAAATTACATGGTTTGTTAGGTGACAAATGCTATGCAAAAGGAAGCATTGGAGAACAAGGATCCCTGGGGAGTGTTAGTGGTGACAAGATTAGTCTTACTTTGAAGGTGGTGTTTCATCAAAAACCTTAAAGAAGTAAAGGTAGGTATTATGGAGAGAGAAAAATAGATTTAAATTGTAAGGGAGAAAAGTAATTTGCCTTATACTTTTCTAGCTTTCCTGCTAAGACTCTTTAGCAAGAGAGAGAATAACAAAAGATGAAGAAATAAATATTCATCAACATTTAGAGAGTATACGAAAAAATATATACACACATCAGCAGTTCACTGTACTACTAAAATTCGGGAAGGTGATAGCCTCCAATTTGAGCACCTCTGGTAACTGCAGAGGACAAAGGTAACTTGAATGAATCTCATGATGTCTCAATAAACTTAGTGTTAAAATATTCATGGAAGTTATTCTTTTTCTGACGTATAGCTTTTTTGGCAGGATGCGTATTTCATATAAACATGGAAAAAAACTCAGAAACTGTAAGACTCTCTAAGTGGTTTAGAATTCTTGCTTACACAACATCTTTTTAAAAAATTAAGAATTGAACAGCCTTGCACCACAGGACTGTGCAGCCTGGGGCTGTCCATGCACTGGAGGAAGGGGCAGAAAGGCACCCCACAGCGCCTCCCCTCACCTTGCGCAGTGAAGTTACAGCCTACAGACTTCAGCGGAGGTGAGTGGCAGCATAAAATACATAAAATACAGGGAAGTTCACACTGCCCCTCGGGGGAGGAGTCAGATGGGACTGAACAGCCTTGGATGGAGCTGCAGGAGCAGAGTCAGACCACATCACAGCTTGCCACCCTGCCCTGCCACAGGGACCAGAGGGGACAGAGACTGCGGGGGGGGGGGGGAGGGGGTGGTGGAGAAGAACACAGCCAGCTGGGCAAGGACGGGGGAGCCAGCTACACATGGGACGGGGCAGCCCCTGGCTGACTGAAAGCAGCATAGCAACTGTGAGAGATGTGCAGAGAAACAGGGTAAGAGTGGGCAGACCCTGAGGGACATACAGAAAGTACTGGATAAAGACTCTGGCCCCAGTGCCCACATCTGGAGGCCAGGATCAGCCGCACACCCAGTACAAACTCTACTGCAGGTGTGCTGTGGTACCCAGTAGTTTCAGGCTCTTGATGGCCATGGGAAGAATTTTGTTTTTTTATTATGTTTTATTTTATTTGTCTTCTTTCTTTGGTGGTTTGTTTCCTTTTCCTTTTCTTTTTTGTTTTATTTTTACCTGTGTTTTGTTCTGATCTATTCATCTTAATTCCCTTTCCTCAATATGTCTCTTTAGATTTAATCATATTTTCATGAGTGAAGTCACTGTAATTTTTCTAGTTAACTTCAATAATCCCTCTTCCCTCTTCTTTAGTTTCTCAAATCTTGTGTGATCATTTTTTCCTCCATCCTTGCTTTCTCCTTACTTCTCTTCAGTTATCTCTGTTTTATCTACTATCCTTCTTAAATTTCCCTACCTCAGGGTAAAGCACTCTATGAAGGGGAAATATTTGACATTCGTGCTCACAATTTATGATAGGCTTTTTTTGCATAGCTAGATTTTTCTCCTACAATTTAAAGTACAAAATTAATAGTTACTATAGTTTGTCAGTTTCTAAGCTATGCTCAATGCTGTTAGTATTGCTGATTATATTACTTTAGCCAGGATGTCATATCTGTTGTAATCAGTTGCTTTCTCTTCTATAACATTACTGAGATGCTCTGGGGTAATAACTGCACCACAGCCCAGCACCAAAGGACTTTGTTTGGACTGAGCCAAACAGATACAAACATCTCACTCTTACTTAACAGGGGAAGTAGGATCTTGAAATATGCACAAGTCAAGAACCTCCTACATACAGGAGACCTCTTGAAAGTATAGATATTTCCTAGAGACGCCTTGACACTAGTGATAAAGCTACCTACTACAAAAATTTATAAGAATCAACACAGAAAACAAAACAAAACAAAACAAAATTAAAACGTAAAATGACAATATACAGAAGCAAAATGCAACCTCAGACTTCCAACTCACATAGAACAAGTCCAGAAGACAGTGAGATAGAGGAAAATGGAAGACACACACCTGAAATTTCTGAAATGATAGCAGCCAAAGTAAAGCAACAAATCCATGATGTTGCAGAGGAAATCAGATCAGAAGTAATCTTTCAGATCGGAAGTAATCTTTTAGGTTAAAAAAAAAAGAATTGATGACTATAAAGAAGGCTTTGTTCAGTAAATCTAGAGGACATGCAGATAATAAATACAGAGAAGCACATGTAAATGATGGAGTCACAAATGCCCAATATAGAAAAGAAACAGAATACATGAAATAGATTGTAAAGACATCCAGGCAATTAAAAATTTCATTGAAAGCTTCCAAAATCACTTGAATGAAACTGAAGATAGACTTTTAGACCTTGAAGACTGGATTGTGGCTAGCAATCAAGAAGAGAAAGAGCTCTCAAAGGTAACAAGGGATCAGATAATAACAATTATGCAGCTTCAGTATGATGCAGAGAAAAACAATACATGATTGATTGTGTCAATGAAAAAGGAGGAGTCAACGCAAATGACATAAAAAGTCTATTTAAGAAGTAACGAATAAAATTTCCCAAGCATGGGAAAGAATCTGACATATAGATAAGTGAGACATATGGAATACCAAATAGCCATGACCAAAATAAATCTACCCACAGGGTACATAATAACCAAGGTCCCAGAAATTAAGCAAAAGATCAGAATATTAAAAGCTACTGGAGAAAAGAAATAGATCACCTATAAAGCAAAACCCATCAGAATCGTGGCAGACTGCCCAACACAAATGCTCAAGTCAAGAAGAGCTTGGAGTGAAGTATTTCAAGTCCTAAAAGAAAACAACATCTAACCCAGATTGATGTACCATGCAATGCTGTGTTTCCAAATTAATGGGGAAATAAGATACTTCCTTGACAAAGAACAGCTGAAGAAATTCATGATCATCAAATCAACTCTATAAAGAGTACAGAAAGATATTCTAGACTGAGATAAAAATGACCGCAATTCCAAGAATAATAATAGGAAGAAACTACAAAGCAGGGCAAGCAATTAAATAGAGGAAAAACAAGGAACCAGCAGCAGGAAAATAACACGGAAAAGATAAGCCAATACGTATCAGTTTTAACCATTAATGTAGAAGGTCTCAATTCACCAATCAAAAGAAAGAGACTGGCAGAAAGCATCAAGAAACAAGATATAATGATATTCTGTATACAAGAAATACATTTAACTCATAAAGAAATTCATAATAAGAAAGTCAAAGGATGGAAAACAATACTCCATGCAACAAGAACTCAGAAAAAAACAAGGGTAGCTGTTCTGTTTGCAGACAATGTGAACTTCAAACTGAGAGTGACCAAAAGATGTAAAGAAAGCCACTACATGCTTGTTAGGGGAAAGTTTTAAGGGGAGGAGCTAATAATCCTAGATAGGTATGTACCAAATATGGGAGCACCTAACTATATAAAACAAATATACAAAATCAATAATTACACACTTGTAAGAGAGAAATTTAATACCCCATTGTCCAAAATAGATAGACCAATCAGCCAAAAAGTCAGAAAAGAAGTAATAGAACTGAACTAAACCTGCGAACAAATGGAGTTAGTAGATACTTACAGTGTTCCATCCAACATCATCAGAATTCACATGCTTCTCAGCCACACATGGGAGATTCTCTAAAACAGACCATAACTAGCCCATGTAACATGCTTAAGTAAATGCAAAAGAGTTGAAATTATCCCGTGTATATTATCTGTCCATAGTGCAAAACAATTGGAAGTCAATGGTAAAAGAAACCATAAAAACTACATAAACAATGGAAATTAAATAACATCTGTCTGGACAACCAATAGTAACATATGAAAATAAAGAAGAAATTAAATCATCTCTACAATTAAACAAAAATGCAGGTACAGCATCCTGGAACCTGTGGGACACAAGGAAGGCAGTTCCAGAGAGAAATTTATAGCAGTGAGTTCTCAAATCAGGAAAACAGAACAAGCTCAAATAAAAAACAAGTACTTTTCAGAGAAGTCACCTGACAAAGGAAAAGCACCTTAAATATCCAGCTATTAACGATAAGATAAATACTATAGGAAACTAATGATAAAACACAAGCTAATCAATAAAGTTTATATAGATTTCTCACTTGCAATGTCTGGGTATCTCAATCTGTTTGGGCTGCTAAGATTACAATTCTCGAGGCTAATATC